ACCCACAAATATTTGAGAGGGAACTTCGATAAAATTTGGCTAGAGAGAGAGAGAGATCTCAAAATTTTCTAGGGTAGGAGTGCTCACCTCCCTTATTTAAATTCTTAGAACGTATTATTATAATATTTTATTACGCTCTACCTCATACCTGAGGTGTCGCATTAAGCGTCTGCTTTTAACATACGAAAACCACGTCCGCTAAAGGACGTGGCCAGCTGAGAGCAGCAGGAGGCAAAAGAAAAAGTAAAGGCAAAGGTAAAGGCAAAAACTTTTGAAAATAGTGATGGTCCCCAAGGACCATCATACTCAAACAGACCATCACTTATTTAAAAGCATATTTTCTCCTTTTTTTTTTTTTTTTGAAATTTTAAGATTGTTACAACCAATAAAAGGACGAAGTACCTCAGTCATTAGGCGCATGAATGTACTTGATGCATTAGAAAAGCCGAATGGCATCACAAGCCACTCATATAATCCATCTTGAGTTTTGAATGCGGTTTTCCATTCATCTCCAGGTTGAATCAGAATTTGATGGTACCCACTCCTTAAATCAATCTTTGAGAAAACCTTAGCTCCATTAAGCATATCTAACATATCATCGAGCCTAGGTATGAAAAATTGGTACTTGATTGTGATTTTGTTGATTGCCCGACTATCCACGCACATCCTCCATGACCAATCTTTTTTTGGAGTCAGTAATGCAGGGACGACACATGGTAACATGCTTTCTCGAAGCAATCCCTTCTTAAGGGACGCAACAACTTGTCTGTGTAACTCATCATGTTCCATGGAGCTCATTCGATAATGGGTCAAATTTGGTAGGCTAGATCCGGGCACCAACTCAATGTGATGCTGAATATTTCTCATTGAAGGAAGACCATCAGGTAATTCTTCAAGCATCAAATCTTTATACTTATCAAGTAGAGCTTCAAGAGACCTAAGAATTGCAGTCGGTGCAGAATTTTCTTTTGCAATCAATACATAAATCACATCTATATTAATTTGGGTATAGGAAGTTGCTTCATAGGGTGGAGTGTTATATTAATACCATCCTTAACAAAAGAATAAGTGTTTCGCCAAGTTTTATGCACTATATCATGATCATAAAGCCATAGTCTACCAAGTAATATGTGGCATGCATCCATAGGTGCTACATCACACCACACTTTATCTTTATAATTAGCACCAATGGAAAAAGAGATTAAACAACAAGTAAGAACTGATACCTCACCTCCTTTCTTGAACCACTGGATGTGGTATGGGTGTGGGTGCTTATGTTCTTTCAATTGAAGTTTAGCCACCATATCTTTAGATACAATGTTTTCACTGGTCCCACTATTAATTAGTATTGTGTATAACTTGTCTCCTGATGTACAAATTGTTCGAAAAATATTATGTCACAACCACTTATCATCCTCGTTAGGTATTGGGGTTGATAACATAGTTTGCTGGACAACTAAGACTTCACCTTCTTCATCTCCATACAAATCCTCAACTTCACCTTTAAAAAGTTCAGTCCCTTCATAAGACTAGCTCGTCCCAATATAACATTGGCCTTCATAGGTGTATCCTTCATCAACTTCTTCTTCATAATTTTTTACAACCAAATTAACTTTTACAAAGGGTTGTCGTGAGGGGCAATTGAATGCCATATGTCCACGCTGTTGGCACTTGAAACGCACTATTTGTGTATTATCACAAAGCGTTTTAGGTGCTCCCACCCTCTTCCAACACCACCTCTCCCCATATTAGGGTTTGGCCTAGTTGAGAAATTTTGAGAAGTTTAGTTTCCACATCTTATAGGTGGTCTTCTAAAGGTTAAAGCTTGCTGCCCCTGTATTGAAGTAAAGCCTCGTGTCACTGAGCTATTCTCCTAAGCCCCAGATTGACTATATTTTCTGCTTTGAGGGCCAACGTATAGGCATCAGACATCTTATAGACATCTTTGAAGGCTAATTCATTCTGAATGCCTTGATTTAGCCCATTCAAGTAACGACTTATTTTTTGATCTTCATACTCTTGTAAATTTGCCCTAAATATCAAAATATAGAACTCTTCAATATAGACTTTTCACCTTACTGGAGGTTTTGACACCTTTGGTACAAAGTTCAGGCATAATTTGTTGGTAAAAATTTTCGACGCATCTTCATCTTCATCTTTTCCCACGAATTAATCTTTTCTTTGCCTTGTCGAAGACGATCCTATTGCAAATCATCCCGCCAAACCAATGCATGGCAAGAAAATTTGTGGCTACTAGTTTTACTGTTTTGTGATCTACAATATCTTTGTACTCAAACACTTTCTATACTTTACTTAGCCAATCAAGAAAATCATCTGCATGCAATCGACCATGGAATTCTAGAATATCAATTTTTATTACAAGTTCTCTTTCTCTTTCCAACAACCGAAGAATTCGTTCATTGAATCGTTATTAGCCGGAGCCACCTGAGGTTGGTTAGGAACAAGATGCATACCTCTTTCATCTATGTTGCCTTGAGTTCCAACACCGGTCTCCGGATTCCTTCCATCATGAAGCTGAGCGAACCTTTGCGCAAGCTCATCAACTTTCGTAGCTACAAGCATGAATTGGTCTACTCTCTCTGCTAGGGCTTGAACTAAGCCAGTCAATACCTTTAATCCATCGAGGGGTGTCTCTTGTGAAGCCATCGGAACTTGGCTCTGATACTAATTGATGCAGGGAGAGAATAAAACTAGAAAATTGATAATAAAAAGAAGGAAGATTAAGAGAAAAATACCCTCTCCCAAAGGTCTACAAGGGAATCCACCCCCAAAACAATCTCTTTCAAGAGACCAATTTTTATTCAATTTATAAATTGATTTACAATGAAAGGAGATGTCCATTTAAATTGACTAAAATAAAATAACTAATAAAAAGCTTCTCTCTACACCTATCCCTATTTTCTCTCTCTCATATCCACGGGCTTCTAAATAGCCATGTTTTCCCTCTCACGTTTTACCCAAAAAAAGACCTCTCAAGTTGGTTATTATTGATAAAGATAAACTCTCTTCTAAATTTACCCTTATCCTAATTATATCCCTCAAACTAACCCAATCGATACAAGATAAACCCAATATAAACTCTAAAGTCGCCATGCTAATTATCCCTGCGCACTCCCTAAACAAAAAAATAATTAAAATAATCCTAATAAATAACCCTAATAATTTCTCTTTATTACGTCATTGCCCTTTATTTCCCTTTTGGGTTCTGCAACCCTTCTTTGGCCCAGTCACGAAAGGGCATGGCTGCATCAACTTACCACCTTGACATTCTTCCCAGAATGCAAGGCCAAAACGTTTTGGGTAGCAGATAGCAACAACCATTTCATTGGACATGCGTATTTTTTCTTTTCCAATAGATATACATGCGGGCATTTCCTATAATTATAATGAACAAGCACTACATACAAATATAACTTAAAAACAATAAGTAATGCAATGACTTAAACATGACTCAAAACATTTAATAACTCTACGCAAGTATACAATAGGTTAATATTACATTTCATGAGCAAATTACCAATTCATATTCATATATTTTATTGAATGTAATGGACGATAACAAATGACAACAAAATGCAACAAACGTTCCATAACATCATAGCAATAAAGCATAAGAAATTGTAAGTTGAAACAAATCATATGCCGTATGCCATCGCATACATATTTGAAGGAGCAGAAATTCAGCAGTAAATTGATAAATCCATAATCATTTTGAATTGTTTTTTGCTGAATTTCTTCTAGAGTATAAATTAGATTGTATAGTATGATTTCGATTTGAATTAGAGTGAATCGCATCAAATATCCGTGCCAAATCTCAACGAAATTCTGCTGTTTTTGCAGCAGAAATAACAACACAGAGAAAATTGTGTTTTGAATGATTAGATCAGAAGCTTTTGGATCAGGTCTTGATCTGATTTTGTATCAAAATCATATAGGACAATTAAAAAGGTTAATTAAATGATTTTTAAGAAATTTTGATGAATCAAAATGGTCACACAAAACTTACGTGTTGTGGAATTTTGTGTCAGCATATAAACCAGAAAAGTGATACTGCTCTTGTTAGAATTTGGTATCAGAGCAATACGAATAATTCTTAAAGAACATAAAAAAAAATATGAAGAATATAAAAATAAAATATGCTTATGACGATTGTAAACCAAAACACAGAGCACCTAAACTTATGTCCCCTCCAATCAAATAAAAAATAAAAAAGAAAAAAAATATTAAATGTTTCAATCAGTTTCCCACTATTGAAAAACACTCCAACCCCAGTTTATGTAACTTTGATATGCACTATTTTCATCTTATGATCCAATAAATAACATCATAGATACAAAATTGATGACCTTCTTAATATTGCACCTCATAAAACCCATTGTTATGAAATACTAGGGTTTTAGTCATCAAGAAAAGCTTAAAGCAAAAGGGAATGAGGGAACAAATGGATTTTTAGAGAAAGAGGGAGAGAGAGAGAGAGAGAGAGAGAGAGAGAGAGATTTCAAATGAGAATGATGAATACTCAACAAATATCATCAAAATAAGACACCAGAAAGCATTACAACATAGAGAAAACATCTATTGTCTCAGGGAAACACATGGTTATTCTACACGAAAAAAATAAAAGTTAGAGAGAGAAAGCCCTACCTCTCTTCCTAAGTGCTGCGAAGAAGCCGCTAAAGAAGAAGAAAGGCTAGGGTTTGAGAGAGAAGATAGTTGGAGGGAGGAGCAAGAGAGAGGAGAACAATAGGGGTTGTGCGTAGGTTAGCAAGAGGGGCAAGCGACCAGCAAGCATGTTCCAAAGAGGAGCAATTTTCTTTCCTTTGTAAATGGACTTAAGCCCATTTAACCAGATTTGAGGTTCTACTTTTGGGTCCGAAGGGAAATAAGACACCGGAAACTTGTTCCCCACCTTATAAGGTGCGTTGTTATTTTCACATGAAAGTGGCCCACAATGGTATGATATTTTCACATGGAAGGTTTAAAAAATTGCTAAGCAACCGGCCTGGCGCCCAGCACCTAGGCGAGCGCCTAGAACCTTAGGTATCCTACAATACAAATTCTTTAGATATATATATATATATATTCATATGTTTGCATCAATTTTGAATTTATTGTATTTATATGTATTGTAACATACTTTCTTCAATACGAACATATGGAATGCTAAGAATAAACCTGTTCAAAATTTCAAAATTCAAATCACATAAAATTTTAAAAAAGTTTGAGAGTTGAGTCTTCAACAAACTTACTAAAGCATAAAACCAAACAACCAAAAGTTCAAAAAAGCGAAAAGTCCAACATCCAAATGTCTAAAGTCCAAACTCCAGACTAAGATGGTGCAATAAAGATGCAATACAAAAGTATAAAAGAAGAGAGAGTACATCTATGTTTCTCCAATCATCATCAGTAAGAATCAAAATCAACATCATCATCGCTTGCATCTGTATCTGAATCGAGGCCGTCATCATCAAAATCATCATCCTTTTCAATGTATTGCTCTTTTTCCTCAATTCTTTTGAAGCTGCCTCCTCCTCCTCTATTTCCCTCCCCCTCTGTGACTGTGAAGTACCAACAACAATCATTGCTCGTGTGGCCTTCCTAGGATCAAAAGCTGGACTCGAAGCCTCCTTGACCATATCCAGGTCAAACCTCCCTGGGGAAGACCTCCTCAGTACCAGGGTCTTCCGTACCTAGGTAAGACCTCCTCCTCCTCTATGGGATACTTCTTTTGCTGATGGAACTTCTTCTTGAGCCTCTGATTTTCTCTTAAAAAAACAAGCCATTGAGCTTCCTTTGCTCAAGCCTAGCTCTTCTCTTTGTATGTACCTAGATGAAAAAAATGTATGAGTACTAGTGTACTACTAGTCTATTACTACTACTAAGTGACCGATATACTAAATGAACTTATAGACAACAAAGGTTATAAGTTATCATCTCAAACAAACTCCAATTGCGCTCTTAACCAGAAGAGTTAGTTGTCAAATTCAAGATCCTAATAGTCAACTTCTGGAGTGTGGACTGCTACTCCCGTGTTGTCTCCACCATCAACTGCAATTTGTGTGCAACCTTTATAATTATTTTGAGTATTTAACATTGTCATAAAGAATTTTAGCAAATTTAAAATAAAACGCTAGTTATTACTTATTAGGAACTTGAAATAAAATTTTCAAACAAACTTTAAAAATAAAACATATATTATTATTACCTGGTTCTGCTTTGCTCCTCTGTCTTCATGCCATTGCTTTCCCAAATGACTTCAAATTACACTTGTAAAGAATGACCTCTTCAGTCGATGTCTTATCTTGGATATTTTGATCAGGCACTAATTAAAACCATCTATAATTGTTTCTTTTGCCTCAATATCACCATCAGCATAAAAGAACTCAAGGTTCAAGTAGTATGCCACCACATGCAATGGTCGATATAGTTGTCTATCTGATGGAGGGTTTTAGGCTTGACTTTCTCTAGGCAAAGGGGCTAGGGTTTCAATCTTTTTTTTTCCTTCCTTGAAGAAGTCACGAATTTTTTATTTTTATAGATTGGGAATTAACCCAAAAAGGGAACTTACCATCACCAGCCAATTGCCAACCAGAACTTGCCATTTTTGAGGTCCCGAGTCAGGGCGACACTAGGTGTGTCACCAAGCCAAAATAGGTCAAATTCAAGAAATTTGACCTAAAACATCTGAGGAACCTCTGGCATGCGAAAATTGTCATTTTTGGGCTGTTAGAGCTGGGCGACACACAGTGGTCGCCCAAGTCAAGCCTGCTCGAAACCAGAAATTTCAAGTTCAGGGCAGATGCTGGGGCTGTCAAGATGTTGCCTGCCACAAATCATCCAAATTGGATTTGTTTAAGTTGGGCGACACAAGGTGTGTTGCCCAGACCATATCTGCCCAAAATGCAAGATTCCTACTTAGCACTGATCTCTAGGTTGTCCTGCCAAAAAATGAAGATTCTGGGTCAAACAGGGTTGGGAGACACATAGTGTGTTGCCTGGGCGACCCTAGGTGTGTCGCTCAGTCTGGTGGGTGGCACAAAGCGTGCCGCCTATTTTGGGTTGGGCGACAATGGGTGTGTCACCCAAGCCAAAACTGATCGAAATTTCGAAATTGGAAATTTTTAGTTCAAGTGTGTACCTCAGCCTCTTGTGAAGCTCTCAGAGAAATTTTGGGTGAAAAAGATTCTGGGACAAAATAAGGTATCTATAGGGTTCTGGGTAGGCAGGATGGTTTTGGGTCACAGGGTAGGCTGTGTGGACTATGGATTTGGATTTACTAAGACAGTGTGGTCCTAAGGGTTCAAGAAACTACAGAATTTGCCAGATTTAAAATGGGGTGTCTACAGTTCCCCCTCTTTGGCAGTCCCTGTCTTTCGAGGAACAGGTGAGTGGCAAAGAAGTAGACACTTTGACGTTCCCTGTCCTTCGAGGGGCAAGTGAACGTCAAAGATAATACAGACATTTTAAATTTCTTCCTAACATCACAAGGTTAGAGGACACACCAAGTAATCCCTCCAAGTCATTGCGCTCACCGAGCTCACCTACCTAAGGCATTTTTCACCTAGGGTTTTCGACGTGAGATGTTGGTGAGTTACACAAGCTTGAAACTCGAGTTGGATTTTTCGGCCATACCACTTAACTTCAGGGGTTTCGCAGTTTGAATTTTTTTTAACCCTGGCATCTTCTTTGATTTCCTTAGGGTTACCTAAGGCTTTCTATAGAAAAAGGCTTTCTATGGAAAGAGACTTGTCTGGCCAATTCCGAAGAGAGAGACTATGAAGCAATAAGATAATCATGGCAACGCGATAATCATCATATACGGGTGTCCAAGCTCCTTTGTTTTAAAAGACTTTTTAGAATTTTTTAAGATAGAGGGATATTTGAAAATAGAACCCAGAGCTTGGACAGTTCACGATTTTAATAAAGAAATTAAAGTTTTTGAAAACACAAGACATATAGTGAAAATTTAAAAAAGAGAAAGATATTTCGAAAAACAAGGTTGGTTAGCAGTTTTAACTCCTGCAACCATAGAGCCCTCTAAGCAGTTTAGCGTCATGCAACAATGGACCGTACACCTGACCCTTTTACGTCATACGGGGCTAGACAGAATACACTTGACTATTTTACGTTATACAGGGCTAGACGGAATACACCCGACTTTTTACGTCATACGGGGCTAGATGGAATACACCCAACCTTTTACGTCATACGGGGCTAGACGGAATACACCCGATCCTTTTACGTCATACAGGGCTAGATGGAATGCACCTAATCTTTAACGTCATACGGGGCTAGACGTTACCTACCTCGGCTCTTTTACGTCGTACGAGTTTGACGTTGAACTGGATACATCTGACCTTTTATGTCATACGGGGCTAGACGAAATACACCCAACCCTTTTACGTCATACGAGGCTAGACGGAATACACCCGACCTTTTACATCATACGGGGTTAGACATTGAACTGGATACACCCGACCTTTTATGTCATACGGGGCTAGACAGAATACACCTGACCCGTTTACATCATATTGGGCTAGACGTTTTCTGAATACACCCGACCTTTTATGTCATACAGGGCTTGATGGAATATGCCTGACCCTTTACATTATACGGGGCTAGATGGAATGTACCCGACCTTTTACGTCATATGGGGCTAGACGTTGCCTGCCTTGGCTCTTTTACGTTGCACGAGTTTGACGTTGAACTGAATACACTCGATCTTTTACATCATGCAGGGCTAGATGGAATACACCCGGTCTTTTTATGTCATACAGGGCTAGATGGAATGCACCCGACCTTTTATGTCATACAGGTCTAAACGTTGAACTGGATACACCAGACCTTTAACATCATACGGGGCTAGATGTTTTCTGAATACACTCGACCATTTACGTCATACAGGGCTAAACATTTTCTAAATTCACCCGACCTTTTACGTCATACGGGGCTAGACGTTCTCCTGTCTCGGCTTTTTTACGTCGCACGAGTTTGACGTTTTCCTTTCTCGACTCTTTTACGTCATATGAGTTTGACTTTTTTCCTGTCTCAGCTCTTTTACGTCGCACGAGTTTGACGCTTTCTAAATGGGATTTTGGTTGGCAGTTTATGCTCGTGCCACCAAGGAGCATTTTCTTTTTGAAATTTTTTTCTTTATTATTTTTTTTTTTTGTTGCCCCTGTTATGAGGTATTGGTTCATCTGTCCAAGTAGAGTAGGACACTTTCTTTGCACAGACTTGTCAAACTGATTTTTACCAACTCAACCCCCCTAGTTGTAGGGTTGTTGTCCCAAAATTTCAGTTATCAAATTGTCATACACACACACGGGGATGAGCTTGCCTCATTTTGCCTCAGGGGATCTTGCTGAGAAAGATAAAGAATGCTCCCAAACTAGCCAATGTCATCATCGACAAGGTTCACCCGTCTCCAAAATGCGGTAGTTGGCAGTTATACTCGTACAACCATGGAGTGGCTGACTAGTTTCAAGCCTTCATAACAGGCATAGGAAGTTGGCTTTGAGAACGAGGCCAGACGACTAACAGTTAACCTCTTGTAGTGATGGAGGAAGTCCTTTTTAAAGGGTTTTGGAAATTGACGGTTTTAATAAACAAATCGAAAAAGCATTTTCAAGAGGAACGGGCCTTACAGTTTTTCCACTTGTGGCCCCTTTGGTGGTCATTTTCTTTATTATGTTTTACCCAAAGATGATGAAAGGATTTCCTTGTAAGATTGTGAGAACTCAAAGGTCTCAAAGTTGTCCTTTTACCTTCGGAGCTTTCATCCTGTGCTTTGTGGGTCCATGAAGAGTTCTCTGGATTCTTATCGGGCTTTCATCTTGGAGAAGTCTCGACGTTCTTTCAAG